ATGAGTGACCATCACTCAAAAATTGATTTTGCCCTCACCCTCCCTAATTTGCAACGTTATTTTGAGGCGAGTGCTCTGACCTGGATCAACGACTGGGCGACCCTACAAAACAGAAAAATGTTAACCCTAGAGGGGTGGGACCTTAGAAGAGGATGGCATGCCTACATATGGTATGGCAAGGCCAAAGTTGAGAGCAACTTCAAGAACCATTATATTAGAGGACCCCTTTTGAGAGTATGGGAGAAATATAGGAGATTTTTTTACGGAGAAACCCTTATGTGGGTGTCACCCGCGGAAGCGTTCCATAATAGGGAAATCCCGTGTGAGAAATGGCACCCCTATTCAAAATTATTTTTAAAACGCAATAATGTTTGGGAGTTGAAACCCCTAGAAGAAATAAGGGACTTTGACAGAAAAATGAGCTGGTTTCACTATTGGCAAACAAAAGAATGCTTCAAAGAAGATTGAAAAGTAGGGTTCAATACCAAGTAATCAAGTTGGGATAAGATAATGAAAAAGGATCAAAAATTAATTAAAACTCTTTACCAAAGCCTGTTAGAATGGGACTTGGAAAAAGAGAGAATAAAAGAAAATATGACAAATTGGGCCATTGACATTGGTCATCCAATATTGTTAAAAGATTGGGAGAACATCTGGAAGAAGTTAAGGTTCACGAAAGCTACAAATATAATTGAAGGATGGTACAAGATATATTTTCGCTGGTACCTGACACCTCTACAAATATCAAAATTCAATAAAAATTAATAGATGCTGGAGATGCGAAAAACAGCTAGGCACCCACTTCCATTTGTGGTGGGGGTGCAAAACAATCAAAAAGTACTGGTCAGCAATACACAAATGTACCCAAAAAATTATTAGGGTGAAATTTGAGTTGAAACCGGAATTTTATCTTTTGAACATAACAAACTTGAATTTAGGTGAAAACGAAAAGATGTTTTTTTATATATCAGCTGCGGCAAGAACGACAATTGCCCAAAAATGGAAAGAGAAAGACCCTCTACAATTGGTGATTGGATAAACAAAATCCTAGACTATATGAGCATGGACAACTTATCACAATACATTGACAATAAAAATAAGAATAAACAGACGAATTGGGAGCCTCTGAGAAGGTTTATGCAGGAAGAGATGCAAATCCAACTCTACGGATGAAGGATATACCAACTAATATAGAGAAAAGTAACTAAGTTATAATGCGGAAAAGTAAATGGACACAATTGTTTACGTCCCTGTGGATCGAACAGGAAGCCATCACCTCCCCTCCCATCCCCTTTTTCTCTTCTTGCTCTTTCCTTTCTTTCTAAGGAGAGCACACTGTTGCTCCACTTTCACTGTAATCTTGGATGCCTTTTTCTCTCTCTTGAAAATGTTGAAAAGTAAATATATATTAAAAAATGATTTTGTCATTTGGGAGTTGTAGTTGCTGGGATTTATAGTTCACCTACAATCAAAGAGCATTCTAAACTTCACCAATGATGGACTTGAACCAAATTTGGCACACAGAACTCCCGTGAATAACAGAAAATACTGGAAGGGTTTGGTGGGCACTGACTTTGAGTTTTGGAGTTATAGTTTACCTACACCCAGAGAGCACTATGGACTCAAACAATCAAGGATTTAGACCAAACTTGGAATGAATACTCAATATGCCCACATGTGAACACTGGTGGAGTTTGGAGAAAACAGACCTTGACATTTGGGAGTTGTAGTTGCTGAGATTTATAGTTCACCCACAATCAAAGAGCATTCTGAACCCGACCAACGATAGAACTGGACCAAACTTTCCACACATAACCCCCATGACCAACAGAAAATACTGTGTTTCCTGATGTTATCTGATGACCCTTCTGACGCCCCCTCATGACCCCCACAGGGGTCCCAACCCCCAGGTTGAGAAATGCTGGGTGAAGGCCATCCAGCCCAACTCCCTTCACCCGGACAAGAAAACATAACCAAAGCCCTCCTGACAAAGAGCCATCCAGCCATAGATATAGATAGTTATATATGATTCACACACACATACATATGAATATGACAGATATAGTTTCATAGATTTTAAAGGGACTCCTAAAGGACAATTCTATGTTACATGTTCCAGAGTAGGCAAACCAGACAATCTCTACATCAATACTGACAAAGAAACAAGAAATACTGTTTACCCAGAAGCATAAAGAAAATACATATATTCGAAACCATCACTTCCTCATTACTTTATTTTCCAGATCACCAAGCTGGGCCACAGCAACGCATGGCAGGGAACGGCTAGTAGAATTATAAAATACAATGGTGTCAAAACTTCATTTATTCTACAGTGCCGATGCTTCCTGGGATACCTGCAATGCAAAATCCGGGGGGGATGACAATTGCCTCCATTCCAGGTGGATACCTTTGCATCCATCCCAGTGCTATCTTTTAGCAGCCAAGTATTCACAAACAGAAAAGAGGATGCAAGAGATAAGAGGGTGGAGGTGGGAGGAAAAATGAGATGAAAGAGTCTGGGTTAGCAACTTCCGTCTGGAGAGACGCCTCTACAGACACAATAGGTCGGGGGGGGGGGGAAGAGGCACAGTCCCAATGGTAGGGGGCGTCGAGGAGGGAGGGAGGGGGCGGGGCTTGGCGGCGGCGCGTGCGCCGGGAAGGAAAAAAGGGGGGGGGGCAAGAAGGCGCGCGAGGACAGGAGGAAGAGGGGGCGCGCGCAGGGGATGGGGAGCGCGCAGGGGGAGTACACAGAACCAACGGACGCGCCGGAGCACAAAGGGGGGGGGGGTGTTCACCCTCAGGCGCTCTCTCACAAAGGCATACACACCCCTCACACCCCGAAAGAAACCCCACTTTTCTCACCGTCATAGTAGTAGCAGACTTTCTTCTTGCCGCCTCCCTGACTGTATGCCATGAAGCCGCCTCTTGAGGGAATCCCCAGCTACCTCCGGATCAAGCGAGGCCGGCAGGGCACAGCAGAGATGCCTGGCGCTGAGGCGGCGACGCAGCTGCGTGAGAAAAAGCCGGCCCCGCCTCCTCCAGCCGCGGGCTCGTGCCACTCGAGGAAGGAACCACCCGCAGGGGGGGAGGAGCGGGGATACGCACCCTCAGGCCCCGCCTTTTCGAAGGCATAGCATTGCGCTCCGGTACCAAACGAAGGCAACGTGGTAACTTGCAGAGAGTTCCTGAGGCAGAGCCCTTTACACTTGAAAGAAAGAGCGATAATTTATCAACTGCTTTTCTTCATCCCCCTCAATTTCGACGATACAATGGTACGGTCTGCGTAACGAAGCGGTCCGTTCTGGCTGTGCTCGACCTCGCCCAATCAGCATGTGCGGAGTGCGCAAGCGCAGAGGGCTTCTCTTCCCTGGCTGTGAGAGACGCTTTTCGTATGAGACCCCAGAGAATGTTGGCTCCGGCCTCGCGCGCCTTTTCCTCTTTCTTCCTTTTTGAAGGGTTTTGCAAAAGGCGGGCAGTTTTGTTGGACGAAATCCCTACAAAATAGTTCCCCTCCAAGCCCATTCTCCCTCTTAAGCTCTCACATAATGATTTTGAAAGAAAATGCAGGAAAATCTAAATAACATATTGAAGTGGTCCCTTTATTAGGCCAAATAAAAGGCCCCCAACACATTGCACACGTTTTCGAAGGCCACTGGGTTCATCATCGGGTATGGATGTTAAAAAGATAGTGTATTGTGTGCCTTTATCCTATTAAATAAAGGCACACAATCAGGCCTGTAGCGAGGGGGTGGTTTTAGGGGTTCAACCCCCCCCCCCGAAATGTTTCAGATTTTTTTTAAAAAAACCTGGTTTACTCATGAATTTTAACTGGTTAACCAAATCCCCATGCTAAGTCTATGAGATGCAAAAAATTAAGAGTCCCTCCAGAACTGCAAGCACTATCTCAAGCAAATATTGACAATTTATTCACACTGTCATTACTTGCAGCAATAGCCGATGTAGTGAAGCAACCAAGTTGTGGGGGGGGGGTGTTGAATGCTCTCATTAAGGAGGCCAGACTTGGTGGAGGTGGTTGACAGGGCGGAGCTGCAGGCTATTGAAGGCTGCTCTGCCCCCTGCTGTGCTCTTTGCTTCAGCGTGAGCTAGGAGGCAGGTTTCAAACCCCCCCCCCCCCAAAATTTTCAACCCTCCCCGAAATTTTCAAACCCCCCCAAATTTTCAACCCCCCCCCCCCCCCCCCGAAATTGTCAACCCTCCCCGAAATTTTTTTCTGGCTACGGCCCTGATCGCAGGAGCAGCCAGAAGGCGTGGAGGCTGCTGAGACGGCTGAGCAACGATCCCTCACAAACTAATACCCATGCCAACATAAAGGCAGATCAGATAGCACACCAACTCTTGAAGAATGGGAAACCCAACCTTGCCACCAAAGTAGGAAAGAAACCAATAGCCAGACAACAAGAGATTGAGAACAACAACCTCCATGAACCCTTTACATCTACTGAATTGGACATGGCTCTCAATAAATGTAAGAATGGCAAAGCAGCTGGCTTGGATGATCTACGGATGGAACAAATCAAGAACTTTGGTCCCAAAGCAAGGCGCTGGCTGCTGGAGCTGATGAACAACTGCACTGCATCCTGTCAGATCCCCAAAATCTGGAGGAAAGCAAGAGTCATCGCCATCTTGAAGCCAGGCAAAGACAGTAATGATCCAAAAAGCTACAGACCAATCTCCCTGTTGTGCCACCTCTACAAAGTTCTGGAGAGACTTATTTTGCATAGAATTATGGAAAACATAGACCCCTGTCTGATCCCACAGCAAGCTGGCTTCAGGAAAGGCAAAAGCTGCACATCGCAAGTGCTGAACCTGACTCAGCACATAGAAGATGGCTTTGAAAGGCAGCAGATCACAGGAGCTGTCTTCATAGACCTGTCAGCAGCCTATGATACTGTGAACCACTGCCTCCTCCTGAGAAAAATGTATAATATCACAAAGGACTACCATCTCACCCGCCTCATAGGAAACCTGCTACAAAACAGGAGCTTTTTTGTTGAGTTCCAGGGCCAGAGAAGCAGATGGCGGAAACAGAAGAACGGCCTGCCTCAGGGGAGCGTGCTTGCTCCATCCATGTTCAACATTTACACAAATGACCAGCCACTGCCAGAAGGGACAGAGAGTTTCATCTATGCTGATGATCGTGCCATTACCACTCAAGCAGGGAGCTTTGAGATGGTTGAACAGAAGCTCTCCGAAGCTCTAGGTGCTCTTACTGCCTACTACAGGGAAAACCAGCTGATCCCTAATCCATCTAAAACACAGACATGTGCTTTTCACCTTAAGAACAGACAAGCATCCCGAGTTCTGAGGATCACCTGGGAAGGAATCCCACTGGAGCATTGCAGCGCACCCAAATACCTGGGAGTCACTCTGGACCGTGCTCTGAACTACAAGAAGCACTGCCTGAATATCAAGCAAAAAGTGGGTGCTAGAAACAATATCATACGAAAGGTGACTGGCACAACCTGGGGATCACAACCAGACACAGTGAAGACATCTGCCCTTGCGCTATGCTACTCTGCTGCTGAGTATGCATGCCCAGTGTGGAACACATCTCACCACACTAAAACAGTGGATGTGGCTCTTAATGAGACATGCCGCATTATCACAGGGTGTCTGCGCCCTACACCACTGGAGAAATTGCACTGCTTAGCCGGTATTGCACCACCTGACATCCGCCGGGAAGTAGCAGCCAATAGTGAAAGGACCAAGGCAGAGACATCTCCAGCTCATCCCTTGTTTGGGTATCAGCCAGCACGTCAACGACTTAAATCAAGAAATAGTTTTCTAAGATCTACAGAGACACTCGCTGGAACACTTCAGCAAGCGAGAGTCCAAAAGTGGCAGGCTCAAACCCAGAACCTCAACCAATGGCTGATACCAAATGAGAGACTCCTCCCTGGGCACACAGAGGACTGGGCGACTTGGAAGGCGCTGAACAGACTGCGCTCTGGCACCACGAGATGCAGAGCCAACCTTCAGAAATGGGGCTACAAAGTGGAATCCACGACATGCGAGTGTGGAGAAGAGCAAACCACTGACCACCTGCTGCAATGCAACCTGAGCCCTACCACATGCACAATGGAGGATCTCCTTGCGGCAACATCAGAAGCACTCCAGGTGGTCAGATACTGGTCAAAGGACATCTAATCAACTACCAAGCATGCAAACTCTGTGTTTTTTTTATGTTTTTTTGTTCTGTTAAAAAATGTAATACAACTGTTCGGTTGCCTGACATGATTAAAAAAAATCCTATTAAATATCCCTGCCGTTTTTTATTCGGGGTTTTTTTTTGGTTTTTTGTTTTGTTTTTTGTATATCTATACAGTTACACCTGGGTATGTGTATATCTATATAAATAAAAATGTGTAATGTTCATTTTGGGATTAACATAACTCAAAAACCACTGGACGAAATGACACAAAATTTGGGCACAACATTCCTAACAGACTAATGAGTGACCATCACTCATAACCCCCCTCCCCCCAAAGTGGAAAGGGCTTAAAACCCCCTAAAAGAGAAGACAAAGAAAAAAGGGAAAAAAGAAAGGAAGGAAGGAGAGAAGGAAGTATGGAAGCAAAGAGCAAAGGAAGGAAGGAAGGAAGGAAGAGAAAGAGGAAAAGAAGGGGGTGGAAAGAAATGGGTAGAGAAAAGGAAGGAGAGAAGGAAAGAAAAAGGAAAGGGAGCGAAGGAAAGAAAGAGAAAGAGGGAAGGAAGGAAAGACAAAAGGAAGGATGGAAGCAAAAAGCAAAGGATGGAAGGAAAGAGGCAGAGAAGGAAGAGAAAGGGAAGGAAAAGAAAAAGGGAGGGAGGAAAGAGGTAGAGAAGGAAGGAAGGAGAGAAGGAAAGAAGAAAAGGGAAGGAGGGAAAGAAGAAGAGAAAGAGGGGGGGAAGGTTGGCCACAGCAATGCATGGCGGTTACAGCTGGTTTACAATATTTATATGCCTCCATTCTCACTTTTGTGGTTTTGACTTTTGCAAATTTGTTCATGGATTTAATTGAAATGTTCTCTAGGAGTCCCTGGTGGTTAAAATGATGAGTAGCTGAACTTGCTGACCAAAAGGTTGCAGGTTCGAATCCGTGGAGTGGCGTGAGCTCCCGTCATTAGCCCCAGCTTCTGACAACCTAGCAGTTCAAAAATATGCAAATGTGAGTAGATCAGTAGGTACCGCTCTAGCGGGAAGGTAACAGTGCTCCATGCAGTTATGCTGGCCACATGACCTTGGAGGTGTCCATGGACAATGCTAGCTCTTCGCCTTAGAAATAGAGATAAGCACCAACCTCCAGAGTCAGACACAACTGAACTTAATGTCAGGGGAAAACCTTTACCTTAGGAATTTATAGCTCCTCTAATGCAACTCTATGATTAACTTTTAGTGGAAGTTGGACATAGAGTCATGTGAAAAATCTAGAAATTGCTAAAGAGATGTTCCCCCTTTTAAAAAAAATATTATAATATTAAAATGTTATATTTATTGAGATTTATATAATATCAGCAGACAAGAAACAATTTAAAGATAATTTAAATAATTATTCATTTATTTATTTTTTACTTTTAAGGGACTCTTGTGCCCCTAGCTCTAGAGCAGCATTTATCAATCTGGGAGTTGGCACCCGAGGAGGTTTCAGAAAAGATGATCAGAAAATATGTATTTCTGATTGTCTTAGGAACCCCTTTGACAGAGAAGGCTGAAGATCTTTCCACATGTCCTTCTCTTCCTTTTTGGGAGCAGGTGGCGAATCCTCCCACCAAAGTATTCAAATTTAGGTGTATCGGGTATTTGTGCCAAATTTGACCCCGTGAATGAAAATACATTCTGCATGTGAGATATTTACATTATGATTCATAACAATAGCAAAATTACAGTTGTGAAGTAGAAAGGAAAATAATTTTATGGTTGGGGATTACCACAACATGAACTGTTAAGGGACCGTGGCATTAGGAAGGTTCAGAAACACTGCTATAGAGAATGTAAAGAGATGACCACATTTTAAAATCAAAAGCATACTA